ATACATCTCCCTCTTACCCCGAACTTACCGTAGTGCTCTGAAAGATCCAAACTGGCATGCTGCTATGCGTGATGAATATAAGGCTTTGTTAAAGAATGATAAATGGGAATTAGTACGCCCCCTCCCCCAATCAAAACATAATCACCGGTAAATGGCTCTTTAGACACAAATTTGGCCCGTTCGGTGAGTTATCCAGGTATAAGGCCCGATGGGTGGTCCGCGGCTTCAATCAGCATTTTGGCGGCGACTGTAGCGAAACCTTTAGCCCCGTCATCAAGCCTGCCACAGTCCGAATCGTCCTTAGCCTCGCTCTGTCTTCAGGAAATCATGTATGCCAGCTAGCCTTCTGTGTTTCAAGATGCCGATCGACCCCACCATATCTACCGGCTCAAGAAAGCTCTTTAAGTCCTGAAACAGGCGCCCCGGTAATGGTATCACAAATTTGCAGGCTTCATTCAGACCATTGGATTTCGCGGGTGCAAATCTGACACATCTCTTTTCATCTTCACACATGCATCGGGCACCGCCTACCTCCTGCTATATGTTGATGACATAGTACTCACTGCCTCTTCACCAGCACTCCTTCTGAGTCTTATTCAGAAACTCAAGGCTGAGTTCGCCATGACAGACATGGGTGACTTGCACTTTTTCCTCGGCATCAATGTTCATCGCACAGCCAATGGTCTCTTCCTCCATCAGACACACTTCACCCAAGACATCCTTGAGCGGGCAGGGATGGTCTCCTGTCGCCCCATCTCTACTCCAGTAGACACAAAGGCAAAGCTTTCTTTCTCCTCTGGCACGGCACTTCCAAATCCTTCCCTTTACAGGTCCATCGTTGGTGCTTTGCAGTATCTCACATTCACTCGACCTGACAATACTTATGCCGTTCAGCAGCTCTGCCTCCACCTCCATGCACTTGGTGACACTCATCTTACGACCATGAAGCGAGTTCTCCGTTATCTTAGTGGTACCGCCACCCACGGCATCTATCTGACCCGCTCCACGACAGATTACGTCCAGGCTTATTCTGATGCTGATAGGGCTGGATGTCCTGACACCAGACATTCTACTTCCGGGTACTGTGTCTTTCTGGGCGATAACCTGATTTTATGGTCATCCAAACGCCAGGCCACCACCTCACGTTCTAGTGCAGAGGCAGAATATCGGGCTGTGGCTAATGGAGTTGCGGAGACATCCTGGATCCGAAATCTTCTACTTAGCTCCAGCAACCACTAGAGTGCGCCACTCTCGTCTTCTACAACAATGTTAGCGCTGTCTACCTCTCATCAAATCTAGTTTAGCACCAGCGCACCAAGCACGTTGAGGTCGACATACACTTTGTGCATGGCAAAGTCGTTCTCAGCCACATAAGAGTCCTTCACGTACCCTCCTCTTCTCAGTATGTTGACATCTTCTCAAAGGGACTGCCTTCACTACTCTTCCTCGAGTTCAAGTCCAGTCTGGGTATCAGACCCCTTACACATCCAACGTAGCCGTGAGCATGTTAGATATATATTCTATATTTAATGTAAATATATTGTTTCCTATTATTGTCTCCAACCTTGTATAAGATTAGGAATCCTTGTGTATACATAGACATGTACTCCCACATAATCAATCAAGAAAATTAACCTTTCTACACATAATGATACATCATGGGGTGTATTTAGTTAACATGATGTATTTAATGTTTTAGCAGGTGTAGCCATCCCTACCCAAATATGTTCCCATTATTTGTTCCTCTTGTACCAAATCAAGCCGCAAGCATAAAATAAAAAAGAAAAAATAAAGAAATTAGGCGCCTAAGGCTGCGTTCCGTTCGCCTGATCTGATCTGATTTTTTGAAGTTCTGATCTGATCTGATATGATTGCAGTTATAATTAAAGCTGTTTCTGAGTTGGTCTGATCTAATCTGGTCTAATATGATCTGATTATAATAAAAATAAGTAAAAAGCATCAACAAAAGTAAGTTGAACGGAATGCTACCTAAGGGCTCCAAATTCCATTCTTCTTGGTCAGTCACTGCTGGTAATATTTTTTCAATCAGCCTCCCTTCTCACATCTCAAACCAACAACTACCTAGTCGCATCAATACTAATCACAAATTAAGTCGGGTGTATTCAATTTAGATTCTATAGTATTTTATTGTATTTTAAAAGTTTATAGGTTTTCAATTCAGATTTTAAAAATCGTTTAAAATATGGAAGTATTCAATTCGAATTTAAAAATATCTTTCTAAATATAATGGTATTAAAAAATCGATAGATTTTTAAAGATTTGTATAAGTTATGGATTTCGATGGATTTTTGAGGTTGAGTATAAATAGAAATCTAATTAAAAATCCCACAAAAAATGAAATATTTTGCCTACATCTGATTCCATCTTTGCAGGTCTCCTTTGTCTTCATCATTTAACACCAGGAAGGCCTACTATTTCTTTTTTTCGATCTACTGCCCATTTTCAAAAGATTGTGTTTCTTTTTTTATTACTACCGTGCCCCCAATAGGATCTAACTACTTCATACATTTCATGGCTGCATCAAGGGTTCTTTCACATCATCCTCATCTGTCGCACAGTTCCCGTCTCCAAAGTCGAAGCGAGAATGCTATAAAGCTGGACAAGGGACAATAGCGAGAAGTGGTGGACTAAAGTTGACCGGCAGGAAGGATTCTTTGATCTCTTCCCTATCTGCCCCATTAGATATAAAAAGTCTTTTGGGTTTTCTTTTTTTATTTTTTTCCAGATTTTGAAACTGATTGTTTTTTATTTTTTTCTTATTTTTTAAGTACGTACTTAATTTAAAATACAACTTGCGCTCTTGCCCTTAAAACATAATTATTTCAAGTGCAATATTATTCAATTCCTCCAGCTAGCACTCATCCATCTCTTTCCCCTCCCTGCCTCCAGGACTATTACCTTATTCATTGTTCTTGTTAACTATGTGTAGGAAATAGGAAAAAAGGGTTACACACTCAGCATTAAAGCTAAGTGAGAAATATATAACATTTCGACTACGCACGTAGACGAACACACTAACTCATAATTTCATACAATATCATGCACACAAGTACAACATTAATACCATCACATAACAATCATTAAATGAATTCACAAGTCACAAATCATTACCTTATTAGTCTAAGACCATATATCCTTACTCTCAACGTTATCTTCGGACTTAGAACCACTATCTACGGTCATGACTCAAGTCTACCTTATTCAACACCATACAACACAACGCGACTTGACCAACGAAGGAGTTCTCCGCTGGG